ACAGATATATATATATATATATATATACGGAAGAGCGCATCAAGGAGAACAAGGAAAGAAACGAAGGGTCGGATCGTACGCCGTGAAAAGGAACACCCCCACCCACCGCGTGGAGCGCCATTAAATGTGCCTTCGCACATGCAAATCCACAGCGACAGTAGCAGCAGGATCCATCGCACACTCGTGCAGACGAACACAACGCAAGAGACCCTCACACTCACACAGATGGAAATCACATCGATGATGTGACCAGGAATAAAGGGGAGGGGGAAAAAAAAGGTTACTTGAAGTCGTTTCCGTGGGCATGCGTCTGGGTGTCGTCGCGGGGCACGTCGCCATAGCCGACTGGAATTGCCAAACCGGCACGTATACACTCCCCATAGCCCGTTTCGTTTTGTTTTTTGTTGTTGTTGTTGTTTAATTCCTCCCCCCACCCCACCCCTTCCTTTCGTTTGTTGTGCATAGTGTACATATGATTTCTCTCTCTCTCCCTCCCTCCCTCCCTCCCTCTTTCTCTCTTTTGCCGGCGTCCGTGGAATAACCGTCCGACCCGCCCTGCGTTGCCGCAGCAATCAAATGAAGCAACACAGCCAAGAACAAAGTACAATAAGAACCAGACAATAGACAACAAGTCGACCCCCCCACACACACAGACACATACAAAAGGCAAAAAAAAAAAAAAACAATCTGAAATATGTTTGGTTCCCCGCACCCCCAACCACGAGGCACAGAGAGACACAGACACACATACACACATACCTACAGCCGCGCCAGCTGCGGGACCTCATCCAACTCGACATTGCCACCAGTCAATATGATGCCGATACGCCTGTACCGCTTCAGAGCTTCCGGGCGCGTGATGAGCGCGGCCACTGCCGTTGCCGCGTTGGCGTCAATCACCAATTTGCACCGTTCGTAGATAAAGCGGAAGGCCTGCCGGGTCTGCGCCTCCGTCACCTTCAAGACGCCATCCACGTGGCGGTTGACGCACTGCGCAACATGCGGGCTCAGCGGAGTAGACAACTCAGACGCCAGATTCCTAACGTACGGGGCCCTCGCGCCAGGCACCTTGACATTACTGCTGCTGCTGTTGTTGTTGTTGTTGTCCCCAGGGGCAACGACGGTGCCGTACTCAAACTCATACATCTGGTCCGGCTTGTCACATTCGGCGGCGAAGACGGCAATGTTTGGCTTCATGCCCTTCACTGCGATGGCCACACCTGCCAGCAGCGTCCCGCCCACCGCTGGCACCAGCACCGCATCCAAGCGGCCGTCCGTCTGAAGCATCAACTCCACACCGGCGGTGCCGTTGCCGGCAATGAGCCAATCGTCCTGCGGGTGGACGTACACGCAGCTGTTCACGCCATTCTTTCCGCTGTTGTTGTTGGCTTCCACCAATTCCTGTGCGATCCGCATCCGCTCATCCTGTGAAGGGCAGCATGGGTAAACCTTTCCGCCGTAGTGCTTGATGGATTTCACCACAATGTCAGGCGTGTTGGCGGGAATGACAATGTGCCCCGTGGAGGCGAACTCATTCGCGGCGAGGGCGACAGCGAGTCCGTGGTTGCTGACGCTCTGTGTGACGAAGTGGTTGATGCCGATATCCACCTGCTTGCTCCGTATGATGTGGTTCATGACACCGCGGAAGTTATAACAACCAGTGCGCTGCAGGTTCTCGCACTTTAAAACGACCTCCTCGTGTTCAGAGCGTTGGCGCAGGGCGTTGCTTGTGATAATCGGGGTCTCATGCACATAGGTGCTCGCCGCCTTGTAGGCGGTCATTACATCTCGAAACGTCGGCATATTTACTCGTCCTCACCTAGTTTTCTTTTGTATTCTTTCTCGTGTTTCTCACGTCGCCGCTATTACTTCTTGCTGTTTTCGATTTCAATCACCCTGTAGGTGTGGCTATTCGTATTGTGGAACCTTGGGGTCTTTTTTTTTCTGTTTCGTTCTTGTTGCTATTGCTGCTGTTGCCTTAGGACTTTTGAAAAGGGAGGATTCTCGTCGGATTCACCTCCAAAAGTGTTGCTACCCTTCACTTCTTTTGATCGGTCGAGATAATTATATATATATATATATATATCTTTTTCCCCCACTGCGGTAGAGAGGTCAGAAAGCGACATACGGAGAGGGGAATCGGCACGTTGCTACTGCCTAGAAGACGATGGAGCCAAGCGGGTGCTCATGCAAGCATGTGCACACTGTGTCAACACAAACCCACATTGGCACAACACATACAACATTCCCTCCCCCTTGTGTGTGTGTGTGTGTGTGTGTGTGCGGCAACAGGCATCTGCGCACTCTCTCAGTCTCACTTTCTCTCTCCCACACCCTCCTTCTACGTGTACTGCTGAAAAATATGTGCTGACTGCCGCTGCGACACCTCGCGCCGCATCCGCTCAATGGCCTCCACCAGCCCTTTCTTCGCTGTCTTGAGCGCCGCGAGGTCAATCTCCGCACCCGTCAGCTTCCTCCGCCCGCGTCCCGGCTTCACCACAAGGGATGGGTCGACTCCGTACAGTTGCTGTTGTTGCTGTTGCTGCTGGTCCACCGATGGCGCAGCCGCGGCCCCGTGGCGTGAGAGGTGAGGAAACAGTGGTACAGAGATGCTTTCCAAGTACGACTCCGCCAGTACCGCGTCATCAGGCTCCTCCGCCATGACGTACTTCCAGCACGAGACGCCGTTTTCGCTGAACGCCGCAGCAGCACGCAGCGGTGGAGTGCTGCCGGACATGGCGTGCTGCGGCTGTGCTGCCAGTGCGCGAGCCGCCTTCACTGTGGTGATGCGGGGCCGCAGCATGTCCGGCAGCGCCTGCGCGACCTGGCGAATTTCAGGAGGCGGGTCCGGCACGACAATCTCGTCATACTGCTCCGTTACCACCGGCACCTGCACCAGCGTATAGCCAATATGCTCTTCAGGCTCGTATGGTCGCCCCAGTGGGGGGATACAGTGCCCACGGCGGGGACGGTGCGAGAAGCGCAACAGGTGTGAAAGTATCACCACACCTGGGCACATCTCCAGTGTTGCAATGGATGACTGCGGAGGGGTCTGACTGGCAATAATGTTATTAATGTAATGATTCCTGTTGCTCTTATCATCATCCTCGACATCTTCTTCCTTTTTCATCTCCTTCTTCACGGGCGCCCGCCTGCTGCTAATGGACGATGCCGGAGCCGCCAAATTATTGCTATTACTGCCATTGCTATTAGTTTTGTTGTTGCTGTAGTAACGATGGCGGCTAAGCAAGTCGACAACAGGCGAAAGAACAGGCCCCCGCGTGAGTCCGGCCATCTGCAATCCTGTTTGTGAAACCCAGAGAGCTGATGCCATCTTCATATCCATTTTTTCCGCCACTGCGGTTGACATTGCTCCTGATCCTGCTGTTGCAAACGATGATGATGACAGCTCGACCTGAATGGGGCGCGGGTAGTGCCGTAACTGCACCTTCATCTTGACAACAAACTCGCCCCAGCCCACCTCTGTCAGTTCAAACGGCGCCGTCGTCACGAGGCGCTCGCTCGGCGTGAAGGAAGGATCGAGAATGAAGCGCACCGACTCGATACATTGCGCAAGGTACTGGTTCTCGTTAAATAGGCCGCGAATGTAGACAGTCCACTCGTGGCTCTTGTCGCGACTCTCCATATTGACGAGGCGCACAACGCCGCCCACCACAACGGGCAACACCGCCTCAATGCGGCGTCCGTCGTCGTCGCTGTTATCACCATTGGCCTTCTCAGCCACTTCCCTTCGCTGTAGGCCCAGCGCACTACTGCCGCTGCTACCAGTGCTGTTGCTGTTGCTTCCGCGTGAGTCACACGACGCGGCATCATCATGGTCATCGTCTTCATCCTCATCTTTGATGTTGCTGGTGTCGCGACGCCAGTAGGAGCGTTGCTGCTGGCTTCCTTCATCCCCGCTCCTACCATCAACATCATCATTATAATCATCATTATAGTTATCATCATTACCATTGTCGCTGTCGTCTTCCTCTGTCTTTACAGCACCACGTGATCGCGCCCTTTTGGACGCATTCACACGCCCTGTCGAAGTCTTGCCGCCGCCACTACTCATACTGTTGCTGCGGTGATAGCGTACTAACCAGTTGACCTGCAACACTGCCGGTACCACATCTGTTGACGTCCCTAGTGACAACCGTTGTCCGCCAAATGAGCAAATACAGCCGTCAACCCAGTGTGCTTGGTGCTTCGCCGAGGATGCGGCCGCAGTGGCAGATGGAGACAAAGTGGGAGGGGACGGCACAGCTACGGTGAGAAGCTCACGCAGTGTGCGTACGACACGGCAGTTGATAGAGGCCTGAAACACTTCGCCCTCGAACTGAATTGTGAAGATGCGCGTGGGCGACGCCAAGCCATCATGCAGCATCTTCTCCCTTCCCTCCCCCCCGCACTGCTGATGGGTGCTGCTGTTACTAATCTCTCCTTCTGCGCACCTTTCTTTCCTTTTTTTTTTNCTTCTCCCTTCCCTCCCCCCCGCACTGCTGATGGGTGCTGCTGTTACTAATCTCTCCTTCTGCGCACCTTTCTTTCCTTTTTTTTTTTGTTTTTTAAAGCATGCTACGAAGGTAGCCGGGAGAGAGTTTGTGTGTGTGTGTGTGTGAGAGAGAGACAAGGGGGGGTAGTTGGAGAGTGGGATGTGAGTAGTGAAGCAAGCCCGCACAGCCGCAGTCGCGGCGCTGCACGCACACACACACACACATTCATGCACATACTTTTCTCCCTCTTGGGCGCTCCTTCCTACATGTGCGTTGCGTCACTTGTCACGCCGGGCACTGCAGTGATCCCGTCGCATCGCACGAAACGGAACAACATCAAAAAGACCAAATACAACAAAAAAAACTCGAACGAATAATGTAGAATGGCACGCGCACGCAAAGAAGCAGGCAACGAAAAAAAGGGGTAAAGAAAAGGAGCAGTGATGTAAATAATTACATGTGGTAGTTATTTTTTTTTCTGTCCGTGTGTGTGTGTATTGGGGGAGGGAGGGACGGAAGTTGGGGTGATCGTTGTTGGAGCTTCCCTCGCAGCACAAATTAAGCCCCCCAACAGATATGCGTCGTCGCCAGCATCTCTTGCCAGCACTTCATTCGGTCCCTAGCAGCCCCTGGCACATGTAGACACATCAAATATATATGCAAATGTTTATGGCCCCTCTTCCCTTTCCATCCATACCTTAGCCCCTCCCCCTCTCTATGTTTGTAGTCAAGTGAGCTCCCTTTGCTCCGCGTGCCATGGCCGCTTTGCCGTCTGTTGCCTCTGCCCCCACACGCTCTCACCTCCCTTCCCATCTCTATGGAGTCGTCTTCGTGCTCTATTATCCCTCACGCCCGAAAGCAAACACATACACGAAACAAAAATATTCGCGTCTCTCCTTCTTTCATCCCTTCCCCCTTCTACCCACCAGTACCCCTTTGGAGGGTGTTGCTCTGCCCCCCTATCTTCCCTCCCCCCTCCGCAGCCTTTTTGCACACACAAGTGCTCACACACCATTTCTTCTTTTTAATCTTTTCATCCCTCTCTCATATCCCGTTCACTGGTTCTTTCGTTGTTCGTGCTGATGTTGTTCGTGCGTACCCTCTGGATAAGTGTCCACACTACGCCTCGTCCAGCATCATTGCAATCTCCACGAATCCCGCCTCGCGCGCGCAGTCGGTTGCAGTGAAGCCGCGCACGTTGCGCAGCCCCACTAATGTTCCCGTCGCTGGGTGTCCGAAGCGAAGCCACTGCACCACCTCCACCTGCCCACCCTGCGCCGCGCTGTGCAGGACAGTGTTGCCGTTGTGCGAACGCAGCGCACGCAGCTCGAGCATCGGCACTGCCGGCGACGGCTGCAGCAGTATCTTGAGAATCTCCGTGTGGCCGTGCCATGCCGCGAGGTGCAGAATCGTACGGCCGGAGTAGTCCCGCACATTCTCGAAGCCTCGCGACAGCAGCGGGTCATCACCACGCAGCTTCTGAAACACCGCCGAGTTGCCCTCCACCGCGGCAGCAAGGAGATCATCGGGGCGCTGATATAGCGCAGCGCTCGGCGTAGCGCCGTGGTGAATGCCTGACGTCGAACCTGAGGCTGCTCCAGCGGAGGAAGTGCGGCCACGCGAGGAACTTCGGACACCGTTGCCCGACGATGACGAGCGCCGGCCGTCCCGAGAGGGGCTCGCCGCTGCGTGGCGCGGGGCACGATCGGCCAGCGGCACGGTTCTCAAAGCCGCCTTCGCTGCAGAACTGGGACGCTCCTTTGTGCCCGTCATGATCGTCACCTTTTTCTTAGGTTTCTCATCATCTTTTACTGCTGTTGAGGCATCAACAGTAGGTGCTGCAGTAGAGGGGCCAGAAACACCAGTAGAGGGCTGTTGTGTTTGTTGCTGATGCTGCGGAAATGGCAGTTGTGCAGCGCCTGTGGGCAGACACATGCCCGATGTCACGGGTGGCGGAACAGAACTCAAGACGCCCATTTGTTGGCGCTGCTGCTGCTGCTGCTTCTGACGTTGCTGGCCTTCTTGAAGCGGCCCACCGAGGCTACTATCATGTGTTGAGCTCGGCGTCACACTGGTGCCGGTCGTAAGAGTGCTCTGCGTCGACGGCGGGGTCACCGCTGCTGCTGGTCGGTATGCTGGCTGGCCCAGAGGCGGAACCTGCGGCTGACCGCCTCCCTGAACTGCAGTGCTGCCAACGTTCATCACCTGCTGAGCACTCTCGCTTTTGTCTAATGATGAGGCACCATGAGTGAACGGCCTCATGGATAGGAGCGGTTGACCACTTGGAACAATGGGCGCGTTTGCAGCGCTGGGATACTGGTCGTTGGACATATTTATCGTTTTTGGCACATCTATGCCACGCGCGACAGCAAACGATGGGCTAGCAGGCAGCTGCTGCAGTGGCGGTCCATTTGGTGGGGGCGGTGAGGCAAACACTTTAGGTGTCACAGCCGTCACAAGATCGTTCGCGTTCTGTAGGGCTGGCGGAGTCGCCGCTGTTCCAAGCGGTGCACCTGTTGTTTGGAAGGTGTACTGCCTTGGAAACGGTGCAGCGGGAATCTCAGGTGGGCACAGCAGCTGTTGGGACAAGTTCTGTAGCTGAGGTACTACCGGAGCCTGCGGGTGAGACTCGGGCTGTAGCTGTTGCTGGAACAATTGTGGTTGCGTCTGCTGAAGTTGATGTGGCTGTGGAACACCGAAGTCCGCATTCGGGACCGCTGGCTCCGTCGGCAGTTGGAGTTGCAGCTTTGGTTGTGGTTGTAGTTGTGGCGGCGGCGGCGGCGGCGGCGGTGGCGGTTCCGTTGTCGTTGCTGCCGTTGTTGCTGCTGTAACTGCAGCGTAGGCCGAAGTGAAGTTCATTGGGCCGTTGTCCTCACGCAGAAAGTCGGGGAGGTCATTGTTGGCTGGGGGCTGTTGGGTCTGCGGGGCCTGTAGTACGACCTCATACGATATGTCGATGGTGCCGCAGCCGTCACGTGCCTTCTGCGAGAGCGACACATTCCCGCCGTGACTCAGCTGCACTGAGCGACGCGTANAGGGCGACGCCGAGAATAGCGTCAGCGTCGCACTGCCGAGCAGCTCCTCCGCCCCGGTGCCCGCTGCTTTGTTGTACACCTTCACCGTCAGTATCGTCGGCAGCGGGCAGGCGGAAAAGGTAAAGGTGGTGTCGAACACTGGGTTCGTGCTGCCGTTGACGACGGGTGTGACGTGCGACTGGTGGCCAATCGTGGCGGTGACGAATGGGTTGGATGTGCCGTCGGAGTTGAGGGCCACGAGCGATTCAGCGCGGTGCACAATGAGCGTGATGCATCCCTGTTGAATTCCGCCGTCAAAAGACATAACACCGCGTCTGTCCGAATGTATGTGTGTATGTGGGTGTTTGTATGTGTGTGTGTGTGTATATATGTGTATGCGTGGGTGCGTGTCACCGTGTGCCAATGTGTGTATGAATCAATGTCTCTCACTCTCCCCCGGTCTGTTTGTGCCGGTGTTTTGCGGTGTTGCCGTTACACGTGTAGCACCGATAACAAATGTGCTTCTGTGAATATATATATATATACGCTTCTTCAACGGCAGCGGAAGCAATAATAGTGGCGATCGCAACAATGCCACGATACATGGGAGGAAGAAAGAAAGAAAGAACGAACGAACGAAAGAAGAGACGGGGCAATAGAAGACGAAGTGTTGGACAGATATTCCCACCCACCCACCCCAAGCAAAGGCAGGCATTGCGGGCCATGTCACGCAATACCCCCAAACGTGGCAATAGACTGCATACAACAGAGATGTGCCGACGCACGCACACATAACACATCCGCACAAAGATATGTATCTGCAGCAAGGAAGAAAAGCACTCACGCTCAGAGAAGCGCACTCATACGCACACACATACACACTCCCAAAACTGGCGCAAACACAACAAGGCAAAGCCAAGCCAAAGGAAAGGAAAGAGAAAAAAAAATGCATGTATTTCGTGTGAATGTGCATCCACGCAAATGTGCAAATGAACTTTTTTTTTTTAACTCAGTTGAGAGAATCCGCAATAATACTTTTTTTTTTGTTTGGGGTGGGTACTGTTACTTATGATTTCGTTGTTGGATTTGTCCAGCACCCCTCCCACGGCTGCATTAAGGAAACAAACAACGCGGGGCGATAACTCCACGTGGGGTCTTGTCAACCCCGGAGAGGAGGCCCTCCATTGCCATCGGCAATTCCAGCAGACTTTCCATCTTCACCCCCCGCATCACCATCAGCACAAGGCGCAGCAGACAGCAGAACCATCGGGATTCATACAGGGCGAAGCCTGAGCAGTGTCGCCCTCGTCCTCTTTGTTGCTCCAATGGCTTTGCACAGCCTTTGTCTTGCCACCACGACCGACACCACCCGGTGAGGTGTAGTGCCGCTGTAGCGCTTCGTTGATGAGTCACTCAACCTCATTGAGGTCATGTATCGCACCCACGCCATAGCTCATGCGTCACAGCTCTCTGGCATGGTAATAACACGGCGGGCGGTGCTCGGGCGCATACGCGATGGCGGCGGCATACGCATCGTCCGCCAGCTCGTACGCGTCCTTCGGCAGCTTCATGTAGAGAATGCAAAGGTGCCGAAACACATCGCCCAGCGCAGCGCGACGCCGCAGCATGAGTTCTGGCGATACACCCCGCTTCACCAGGCACTCCTCATCCACGTTGAATGACAACAGCAGCACGGCAAAGTTCATCTTCTGAATCGCCTTCACCACACCACGATATAGTGGACGGCGGCTGAGGTGTCCGAACGACACGAAAGAAAATGTCCACATCTCTGCAGTGACGCACGCTGGTGTGCCACTGCTGCTGCTTCTCCTATCTTCATTCTTGGCGTCCTTATCGTCGTCATCATCAGCATTAACATCAGCTTCATCAGCATCAGCATCAGCATCGACGTCACAGTTGGAGGTGGAAGCGGTGTGGCCCTCATTATCGCGCCGCCGCCTCGTCGTGACAAGGGCACGCGCCTCACGCCGCAATCGCTGCACCACCTGCAGCGACACCACGGGATCAGCAAAGAAAAAAGCGCCTGTATCGTACACATTTGCGAATGAGTCCAGAACGACACGGTAGCTGTCATCGTGCAGCAGAAAACTGTTATACGACACCTCATCGATGGTCGTAGGCGCGTACTGCTGGGTGTAACTGTTTTGAGAAAGGTCCATGTCTAATGGAGATGGTGCGGTTCCAGCCACGCCATCCAGGTCCTCGCAATCCTGGGGTTTCTCCACCCGCCCCTCCTGCCACTTCTGCCTTTCTTCTTCCTTCTCCTCCTCCTCCTCCTCCTTTTCCTCGTCACGTTCCTTTTTCATGCAGCAGAGTCGGGTCTTATCCATCAGGCTCAGCTGAGCCTTCATCAGCTCTTGCAACGACCTGGCAAAGAGGAAGTGAAACGCACCATCGTCCTCACTCCTGGCGTCCACCTTTACAACGGCCTCTTCGCCACACTGCATCGTCTGTAGCACCACATCCAGCCATGACGGCAGCGCCCTGCTACCAAGGAGGCCATCATGTGAGGGCTGCTCAGGTGGCGGCACGCTCTCCCCCAGCAGGCCCTCACGCACAACACTGCAGGAGACTGTCGCACCATCGCGTGGCACGCTAAAGAAGCGGAACCGCAGAAACGTCAAGGCTTCTTCATCTGTCAGGTCACCACCGTTACAGCCACTATCATCACCATCATCATCACATATTATCCCATTTTCGGAAGGGTCTTCGTTGCTATTGCTGTGGTCGAAGCGCCGGATAGGCCTCTCTTCCTCTCCTCTGCTATAGGGGGGAGACGGAGCGACGCTGTAGAACTGCGTCAACACCGCGCTTGGGCGGCCGCCACTCAGCATCTGCTGCGGCGGCGGGAGGCCTACTGAGTGACAGTTCCCCGCCGCCGAGACCACCGCGACAAGAAAGGCACAGCGGGCCCGTGCCGACAGCGCCGCCTCGGGCTGCGTCGACTCCAGTGCGTGGCTAAATAAAAACTCATGGTGGAAGAAGCGAAAGAGCGACATTCCCCAGCTGCGCACTCGCGTCATCGCCACCTCTTCCACCGCCGCGGGCGGGAGACGCACAATGTACTTCTGCAAGACGGGCGGTACGTACGGCTCAGGGAGGAGACAGCGGTGCAGCTTGATGTGGATGTGCATGTACCGCGGTGCACCACACATGTCGCGTGCGAAACTGTTTACGTCATCATCGCATGGGTTGGGATTGAGGACGAAGAACGCAAACTCATCACCAGGGCGCATGGCATGCAAAGCCACCTCCACACCCTGCAAGAGTGGGAAGCCACTAGATAAAAGCACATCTTGACTACCTCTGAGGTACGCGGAGGTCCCTCGCTTCTGCTCCAGTTCACCCAAAACCACACAACGTGTGGCTACAAAGGGAGCGGACAGGCGGTTCTCGCGGAGGCTGCAAGACAGGTGCTTAGCTGCCGCCCGCCACGCAGCTGCTGCAGTCGGTGATGACGGGGCAAGATCCTCACATACTAACTCCTCATTTGTAAACTCGTTTCGCATATCCGACGCGATAATGTCACGGTTGAGGTGTTCAACGGCAGGCACCGCAACGCACATAGTGTAGTCGAACAACACCCACAAGGGCGGGGTTTGAGAGTTGCGGCAGCCCCACCACGCTGTCTCTTTTCCGTCTCTTTGTGAGAGTGAAGCAAAGGGAAGCGGGAAGGGATACAGTGTCCTCATCAGGTGTGTGGCGCTACCGTTGATCATGAAGACTGTAGGACGTATGTAAATGCCATTGTACGGGGAATGTGACGATGCGCAGCCTTCACTGCTCCCGTAGCCGTGAGTACTTGTTCCATTGGTGCACGCCTCCCCATCACCGAGGGCGGTCTCGCCGGTGCTGGCGGTGTTGCGCTCACCCCATATCATACCCCTCCCTGCGGTCGAGGGCGAAAAACATGGCATGGCAGGGGGGTTGGGCGCCACCCCATGTCGTTCCTCCTCTCCTTCTGCTGAGTCGAGTGAAGAATGTGCAGTGAAATGGTGTATTCGCTTCGTTGTGCTTCACTTTCTATATTGTCTTTTTTTCTTTATTCCTTTCAATTTACACTTTGTCTTATTGGTGTTGTAACTCGGATAACCAAGTGGGGTAACGGTTGAGACAGCAGCAGCAGCAGCAGGGGCAAAGGGGTCTTCTTACCCCTTTGATGACGTATGTCACCTACCGTTGTGTTGTCTCTGATTCTTTTTAGTCAATTTCGCCCTATGTATATGCAGAAAGGCGTAACAAGAACAACAGTAGCAGCAACAACAAAAACAGTAGCATCAATGTGAAGGTGAATAAATAGCCGCCATCACAACGGCTTCTCCCAAATGAAGCAGATACTACGCTTGTAAACTGCACGTCCCTTTCAATATATCTCCTTCCTTCCGTCCTTCCTTCCTCTCGCGTGGGTTCACAAATTCTGTAACAAAAGACGTTTTTTTTTTCTTGTATTTAGTTGGCTTCGTTATGCCCCGCCACGCCGCACAGGTGAGCGCATACATAAATACGACCACAGAGACACCCCGAGACACCGTTTGCTGTGGACCTTGACGTCACCCACCCTTAAAGCACCGATGTTTTGACGCATGCATCGAAGCATTAAGACGTTTGGCGATGTGAGCGAGAGGATGAATTGCCGCCACCTCCTCGTTGGCCCCGTTGTTGCTGGCGTTGCTGCCGCTCATGGTAGCGGGGTCGTTGCGAATAGTGCTGGTGTGACTTCTGGTGGCGGGAGGGGGAGTTGCCAAACGTCTCCCGCCTCCCTGTCTGCGTGGGTGGGGCGCGAGAAGATGAAGAGCGGCTGCTGCTGCGGTTGTCGTTCCTGTCACGCTTCGTCTCATTTGTAAAGAAAGTGACAACGGTGTCCTCGTCCGGCACCTTTGGCCCACGTGATTGGTTGGATGTCTCGGTTTTCTCCTTCACTGCCGCTTGCGCCGTTGCTGCTGCTGCTGCTGCTGTGGATGATGATGATGATGATGTCGCTACCGAGGATGCGGCAGTGTCATTCTCTCCCGCGTTGGTGGTATTGTCGCTGTTGTTGGCCGCCGCAGAGAGGATGTCGACAGCGCTCGTGAAGAGTACATGTCGGCTGCCGAGCTTCATGCCCACCGCCAGCTCCAACTCCGTTAGCACCGGGTCGAAGTCCTCGCGGAGGGTCAAGATGTCGCCACTCTGCATTACTTGAAGCGCGGACGAAGCTGCTGCTGCTGTTGTTGTTGTTGGTGTTGCCGTCGACGAAGCGGACCGCACCGATGCTTTCGTGGTGTCTCCTGTGACACGTTGAGTGGTGTTACGGCGGCGTATCGTCGACATGCGCTCCTCACTTTTCTCCAGCGCCGCAAGTGCGGCAGGAAAGTGGTTGAACACCGCTGTCATTGCCACGTCGCGAATTGCCGGCTTCGGCATCAGGAGGTGCTGTGCCACCACGCCACCGCCCACGCCGCCACTACTACTGCTGCTGCTGCTGCTGTTCATAACGGCAGCCTCAATTTGTCGTCTACCCGAGGATGGCACCACCTCATCTGGTGAAAAGTACACATTAGCGAGCGTCTGCGTGATCTCTGCTGTTGGTATCTGCAGTGCGTGCAGGATGTGCTTGAAGGCCTGTCGCCGACGGTACGCCGGTGGTATGTTGAGGAGGTGCCGCATCGCAATGCCCGGCTCCCCGCGGAAGCTCCACATCGCCGCAATAGCATTCAGCGCGTTTGTCACGCCAACAATGTGGTAGGGCATGAACAGCCGGTGTGACTGAAAGAAATCGACGAGCTTCAGCAGGTACGCATCCTGCCAGTCTCGATCCAGCTGCTCTGACATCATGCTCATGCGGTATGCGGCCACGTAGTCGCGGCCGAAGCTAACTTCCGCGTGAAAGACGCCGCAGGTGGCGAGCGTGTGTCCGTGCTGGTAGCAGTGACGGCAAAGGTCGTCGTGCAGCGCGTGGGCGAGGCCTGTGAGGAAGCGGTTAGAGTACGTCTGACGCGCCGGTGGGTCGTCGATGCGCGGTGCGAGGCCTTCAGCCGCGTAGAGCGCCAGCAGCTGCGCGCTCCGCTCTGCCAGGACGGTCG